ACTCTGGGGTTACCATGGCAACGAAGCGAATTTCCATGGTGTTTTAGGCAATATTTTGAATATTCTCTGGGGAGGAAAATTCGCACAATGTGGCCAGCGTTGGCGGTGAAAGGTGTCCGATTTTGGGCGAAAATTATTTGGCAGCACTGGACATGTGAGGGCTTTTGGAGTACGAGTAGTCGAAACAACATCGCGCCTTCAACATACGGTATAGTAGTACCGGTAGTTGTTAATGTTATCGTATTAATTTTCACAAATTTCAGTAGAGAAGACACTTCCTTCTATCAAACGTTTTCTTTCCCTTCTCTTCACCTCGTGAAAGTGTGACAAGTGTTCCCTGATGTGTTCAACAGTGTTTGTCTACAACTTGCAGCTTTTGTTTTTGAGTTTTTCCTTTATCTATAATTACAGTATAGCAGTCTGGCTGCCTGCATCATTGAGTATTATAGTTATGTGTTTTTCCAAATTTCCAATATTCCCTGTACTATCCTGAAGAGAAGGGAAAGAAAACGTTTGATAGAAGGAAGTGTCAACTGAAGTTTGTGGATGTGCGTTGTTGCATGCGAAAGTACCGATTGCGAAACTGTTTTTTCACCGCCTCCAAACTACCGCTTGTATTAATTTTATTCATATTTCTCTAGGCCGTTCCCACAGACCTATGCCTATGGTCTCCTTACGGGGTACCCTAGCCAACCTAGGATTGCGATACGAAATTGACTTGGTGAAGTAGCAAGGCGGACGGATGCCGGAACTGAGTTCCAGCGGTCAGCGGCTAAATAAGAAAGAGAGGAATAACCAAATCGAGAGGAGGCTCGTGGCAGTACAACTACAAGTCCAAGCGAGACTTGAGACCGTTACCAACATCGCCTTCACCATCGCCTCCAACCCCTGCATCATCGCTAACCGTCTTTCGTCTTTTGCCATGAATATGGATGGGCAATGTGTCTTCTTCATCACGTGGATTCTGGGATGTTTATAAGGAAGGTGTTGTGTCCTTCAGCTTCCATGGGCTCATCTCGGCCACTGTCTTTTGCAGTAGTTCCTGCCGGTTTGGTGTCCATTTTAGTGTCCTGATCTACACCATTTACTTCCATCACCAAAATTTAATTGTATATGTCACCTTCTTCTACTATTGGACTTTCAACAACTCCAGGCGTTTTACCCTAGTCATCAGGCAGTGTATCTAGAGGCACTTCCAGAGGGCCATGCTTGGATTGGATTGGATTCGTTCCATGTGGGTGTTGGGCATTTCGCCTGGTTTTCGTCCGTAGTGCTGATCGTAGATGTTGGCTTACTGAAGTTTTTCATGCAATTTATTATTTTCTTCACAGTTTGCGTGAACATCCTTCATCTTGAAAAATTGTGTATTGTTGCCCGTAAAAGAGGCTTATCACATCATACTTTCTTTTCTCTTCACTAGGTGTAGTGTGCGTGTGGTCTAAGGCTAGGAGGCTACTACCCACAGTCAGTCAACTAACGTATCAGAACTTACTCCGGCACGGCCTGGAGGTTATCTTATATCAAAGTGAAAGTGAACTTGCTCTCTCTCTCTCTGATCTCTCTTCTCTTCCGTATGAGATGCAAACTAGAGAACTATTACTTATACAGAATCTAACAAGGCCGTTGGCAAGGGGGCCAGCTAGGAAGCTTCAGCTGGTGTCTATTGCGGGAAACAAGCAGCAGGCAGCAAAACAGCTAAAGAATGTATGTGATAGTGTAGCAAGCAACCTGGAAATGCCATTGATTACTCGCAGCGCGCCTCAGTGCTACAAAGGAAGCATTGGAGCATGAAACTGATATCGCAGTGAAGATAAGTCCATACAACTGCACAAGGACCTCTTGCAAATGAAACATAGCGGCACAAGTATTGTATTTGGAAACAATGAAGACTACTGATAATTAGTGTTGGTCTAGCTACTCTCCAGTGTGTAGTGGCGCCATGCAAGGATCATGGAAGAACAATCGTAAATGTAGGAAGTACTGTATGCTTCTAAACAATAAGAGTCATGCAAAATACATGTACTACTAGTCATGTGTAACCTGTAAAGCAGGGATACTACACTAAGTGTTGAACTATGACAATGAGTTGATGTGGGATGTTCAGTGCGCTACGTTTTTCAGGTTTTCTAGTCATTTCTACGCAAACCAGTAATGTGATCAGCATCATCCACTTCATCATCTCTGTCGAGTAGTGCAGCCCTGCTTTTTCTTACATGTAGGTTGTGTCTGCAATATCATTTCCTTGGCAGATGGTTTGTGTACCTTTTCACGATCACCCTCCTCCACAATTTCACCAATATCCCATGTGGATTCTCTCCTTTTCCTATCAGACCGACCCGGCAATACGACCGGTTTTGGAACTGTTTTAACAACCTTTTTCGGGAGACCTTCCTCCTCTTCATCTCCTTCCTGAACATGTATATTCTTCTTGCGGTTTTGTGATTGAGTTTTTCCACTCCCCTTCATTGTCCTTTCTCCAACCTTCCCCTGATTTGTTCTAACATCCCTGGTGTAATTTGCCAACCAAGGAGGGGAACGTCTCAGGGACACTAACTGACCTTTTTCAACTGATCCACATGTGTGAGACAGATTAACACCTCTTTCGTGCCTGCCATTTTCGTGTTTGCATTGATACTACCTTTGAATTTATCAGCCAGCTAGTCTTTTGAAACTTGACCCTTCCACAGTACAACCTTTTTCACTTTAGCTTCCCCACTGCTCGATCTTCGGACAAGACCTTTACCCACCATAGCTCCCCACAAATCACCAGGACGAGCGTTCGTATAGCATCTTCCTCTTGTACCTTTGGGTGTGCCTCAAACTTCGCAACTTCTGTATGGACAGGTTGTAATGTTGCTTCAATGAATGCTTTTTCTGACTCTGTTTCTCCCCTGCTTGGAGCATTCGTATACAATGTAGACCAGGGAGTACTAAAGAATGGTATTTAGTACTCCCTGGTACTGTACACTGTATGGAATCATCCTTCCTTTTGCTGAGCAGCTCTGAGGCAGTATTTTTGGCGTCCTGAACCCTACCCCTAAACTGGAGCTTCTGGTTATTTACCAGCACATCACTGTATTCTTTATTCGATTTATTCAAATCCCTGCTCTGTATCTGAGCATGCTGTTCAATTGCGTTCCTTTCCGTTTTGTCCCAGTGTTCCGTAAAGACTGAGCTCAGCGGCGTTGAGTTGGCCGGCCATGGCCCCTAATATAGTTCTGCGTTGTCATGTCCCACACTATGGCATGAATCCACAATCAACAAGTAACAGGTCTTATGTATTTGATGCATTTACCCACAATTTATAGGATCAGCATGGATTTGGTATAGAAATAGAGAGATTTGTAGAAATGGAGACAGAAACAGGTAAGGAAAAATATTCCCGCGAGGGAACGTCGGCAGGAAAAAGAAAAAAGAAGTGATGGCTAGGTACTGTAAAAGCAGAAATTTTCGGTGGTGTAATATTTTCGGTATTCTCCAAAATCGGCGGTTCGGTAGAGGGAAATTTTCGGTAAAACCCGTTCTCCAGGTAAGTGTACTACATGTATACAGTATCGATTGTACCAAAATTTTCGGTGCGTTTTAGTTTCGGTAAAAATTGTCGGCACCGAAGTTACCGAAAATAAAACACCACCGACAATTTTCTGCTTTTACAGTATCAGGGTATACCGGTAGGTCAAGGTAAGGTAGCAGTAGCTGTTGTTACCACGCAGTCTATGATGTTCATAGATTCCCAAGCCACTGGTACGTGCACATACCACTTCAACGTCTTGGTCAGGTGATCTTTATAATTATAACTGCTGTTGATATGAATGGTGCAGATGGTGGAGATGGTGGACCGCATCAGTGCCCCTGGGTCGCTGCATATAACAGAAGTTGAATCAGAACGAAAAGTTCGAGTTCGTGGGTCATTACACAACATAAGCTTACCACTCGCATAGAAACACCTCCTGTTCACCATTGGACATTTTCGAGCGTATTTAGAGCGTAACAGATGGCTCTCTAGGGGTTTGATCCCAGTAACTGTAACGTTGCGCAAGACACACCTGAAATACATGAAGATCTTTTCGTTCATTGGTTTGAGGGAAAGATTCAAAACGGGGAAAGTCTGAAGAAAAAATTGACTGTCACCACGACGACTCGAACCAAAGACCTTCAACGTTTTCTTTATGTGTTTATAAACACGCCTCAAGAAGCATTTACAAAGGCCACCATCATACATGCTCCCATGTTCAAAAGCTCTCGTAAAATAAGGTATCCCAAGGATCTTCACTACCTTGGGGCAATTTCTGTCCAGAAAGAAAAGATGTAAAAATAGAAAAAAACACAAGGGAACGAGTTATGAAGCAACTATCCACGACTGTAACAAGGTAGCAAGCACTCAGAAAGTGCGATAACTTGTGTTTTCTTCCACATTCATTTTGCATTTTGGCGGATTATTTCGCAATATTTGTATGGTGCTATTTTGTATATACCGGTAGTATATTCCCGTTCCGTTTTTTCTTTAGTGTAGCCCGGAGGTTGACTACCCTTCCTCTCCTCGTGTTTCTTTCCCCACCCCTCTCTCTCATTCCCTCTGTCGTCCACATGTATCAAAGGAGGCAAAACCGCATGTTTGTGGTGCTACAACAACAATAACAACAGTATCCGAGAAAGAAAATGAAACTTGACCTGGTCGTGTATAAAACATACACACATTGGAATAGTCCACATCAAGTTCCTAAGACAATTGGAAGGAACCCAGTGTAAACACGTATGTCAATGAAGCGTCAATCCTCGGAAGAATTAACAGAGAGCATACTGCACAAGCAAAGTGCAACAATGCCAGCCGCCTCAAAGAGGAGAAAATGGAGAAGGCTGTCCTCACCAGAGGAGTCAGAACCGGCTTAAAAGATTGGGAAGAGGCCAGAATTGAAACTATCTGCAAAATATTGTGACAAGGAAGACTTGTGGGATTGGGTCGATTCCCAGCCAACACGTGCGTCTGACGAACCCTCTAAAGAAGATAAGGAAGAAGAGGACAAGTCAACGTCTGGGTCTGAGAGCTAGTTACACTCAGTACTAGGATTAAACCCCTAAGGAGCCATTTAGAAGGGTCGAAATACGAGAGGAAGATAGAGGTCACCTTCATATGCGAGTGGTAAGCATGCCGGTATATTATGCGACGACCCACGAACTGGAACATATTCGTTCTGATTCAACTAACCAATCAAACCCCTAATGAGCCATTTAGAAGGGTCGAAAATGAGAGGAAGATAGAGGTCACCTTCATATGCGAGTGGTAAGCATGCCGGTATGTTATGCAATGACCCACGAACTGGAACATTTTCGTTCTGATTCAACTAACCAATCAAACCCCTAATGAGCCATTTAGAAGGGTCGAAAATGAGAGGAAGATAGAGGTCACCTTCATATGCGAGTGGTAAGCATGCCGGTATGTTATGCAATGACCCACGAACTGGAACATTTCGTTCTCATTCAGCTAACTGTTATATGCAGCGACGCAGGGCAGGGGCATTGACGAGAAAGGTCAGAGGAGTGAAAACCGGCTTTAAAAATTGGCCGGAAGAAGCCGGAATTGGAGCTATCATATTCTTCAAACGATTGGGACGAGGAAGACTTGTTGCAGCAGGAGCAGCAGAGGGTACTAGTCTCATCACGCGACCATTGGCGCGAGCGAGCTGAGGAAAATTGATCACGATGATAAGCAAGGGTAGAGAAGAGCCCAGAGCTACATGTAGCTCTCGCGTTTCACACTAACAATAAGACCCACGCTTAAAATCAGCTCCGGACTTCTCTTCCCATTCCTTTTCACCAGCACTAGCTCTTACTATTTACACGGCTAAGTTACACTGGCCCTAGTTGACACAATTCTCATTACCAGGCACTGCTCTATTAGTATTACACTTCACTGTTCAACCATAGTCATTCTTGTTTGTTCGCCTTCACTTCAGCTTGATGTACATCCTGATGATGGGCCGGGACCGACGTGATGTACGTAGAACACTGCACTGTCTGCAGTAGAACGCCGATTATGTATCCGGACGTCAACTATCCGGATGATCGATTATCCAGATCGCCTGGTCGCAGTGGTCGGGCTGTAAAATAAAAAAATAGCAGCTTTTCGAGGGTTTTGCTGATTTTCCCCAATCGGGTTTTGCCGATTTTCCCCACCCCCCAATCGGAGCACCATACAACTAAGCGAAGTATTACAACTAACAGGTTGGAGTCAAAATGTATAACGAATCCCTAGTGTCATATTTGGGAGGTGGAGTGCACGTAGTTCCTGTTGTCCTGTGGATCTACACTCTACAGTGTTACTGTTAGTGTGACCGTGTCACTGTCACTGTCACTGTCAGCTGACATGATAGCATTGCGGTGAAACGGCGCCGCGGACCGAGCAACGGTCAGCTGGGCTGCCAGTGCCACTGTCACAGCCCCCTGTGCCAGTCACCACACTGGTCTCCGGTACCGACAGACAGCTACAGCTACCTGTAGCTGCAGTTGATAATTTTTTTTATCAATGAATGCTATGGTCAGGCTTCTCAACCAAAACAACAAGTAAACAGCAAACTGCAGCCCCAGCCAAGCCTATCGTAGCTCAGGACTTGTTGAAGACGTCCGACTCGGCACGACCCCAATGTCATTATGGAGTCACTAACTGATTAGAAAGCCTGATTGATTTCACCATCTTATCTTCGGTGGTACTGTCTCGAGCTCCGGAAAACTTGTAGGCGTGAGCTGGGAGTGCCGGAGGACGGACCCTGCGACCATGTCGTCGTGGCTAGTATTGGTATCGCTGCTGCTCCAGATGTGCGTCGGCGGCGCGTACTGTGTGGCCGTCGACACCCACTCGGCGGGCAATTCGCGCAGCGCTGGCGACTTGCAGTACGCAAGCAGCAGTGACTGCATGCTGGAGAGTTACGACCTTGGTCCGCTAGCAAGGTAGGCCGGTACGGCGAAAAGAAGCTACTTCTGTAGTAGGGCAAAAAGTGCAAATTATAAACGGGGGTGCTGAGCGAATAATAATGAGAACGAGAGAGAATGAAAAAATGGGATAGGAGTTGTGCATGGTAATGAGCAGTCAAAACGTGTGGCGATAAGGCACAGACTAACACTGATTACTGAGACATCCAACAGCCTCACAGACACATGCAGCTACATGTACTTGTAGCTAAGAACTAGGGCTCAAACGGTCACGGTTTTACCCCTAACGGTTAACTGCTAAGCTAACGGTCGGTTTAACGGTTATAACCTATAATTAAAGCCACGGCAATCTTGCGGACTCTTTTTTAACCTTATATTTGACTATACTCATTCAAAAAATGTACCCTATTCTGAGTATTCAGTACAACACACACATGTACATTCTCTTGCATGCTCATTCATACATACTCTCACACCAAGAGACCAGATATGACCGAGTTGACAGCCCAGAAATTGCGTACGCGTGCGACAGCCTGCGAAAGTGCATACTTTGCAACGACATGATACTTGAAAAATTGACTGAAAAGTTTCTGCGTAACCGTTATCTTTATTGGTTAACCGTTAATTCTTCGTAACCGGTCTGCAACCGGTTAATCGGACTAACCGTTTGAGCCCTACTAAGAACACATACCGGTATCAGACATGACGTGCAAACCAACAGCTTTCCGACCAGGAAATCAACACTGAGTTTATTCATAATGAAATTTGGTCCGCAAGGCACATGCCCCCCCCCCCCCCCACACACACACATGAACACGTGACTGTATGCTTACCATTGCATTGGCATAATTTTGGAATTGCAACTTATTGACGAAGGGCATTTCAACTCCCCCCCCCCCCCCCCATTATGCAGTTTGGTTTTGGAAACAATGCCAGTGTCACTGACTGTCTGGAAAAGAGCAGGGGGGGGGGGGGGGGGGGGAGTGGGCGTTGGCATTGCAAGTTCTTGAATGCTGCATTCTCGGCCCAAGTTAGTTGCTATTGCTTCCACTGAACTGAGCATCGCTACCATGACATCGTGACATCATCGACGGCATCACCTCATGAGCTCAGTCAAGTCAGCGATGGGTATGTAATTGTAAGGTCTACGATGACGAAGCCAAAGCTGCTTTATACAATGTACAACTTACGAGTACATGTACTTCGAAGTACAGTCAAGCCTCTTTAGGACGAACACCAAGGGACCGGTGGTATTTGTTTGCAATAACGGGAGTTCGTCTTATCCGTATTTTATACCCAGTGAATACACTGCAATCTATCCAATAGAGTTATGAATACTAGTTCTTCTAAAGCGAAAGTTTGTCGTATCAGTGTTCTTCTTAACCAGGTTTCACTGTATATGTATGTGCCCTGCCAGCACCAGTATAAATTTCCGGTATGTACATGTAGTACTGTGTGCGTGTGTGTGCATGTGCATGTGCATGTATTTGCATGTGCATGGGTGTGTGTGTGTGTGTGTGTGTGTGCATGAGCATGTGCATGTGCATGTGCATGTGCATGGGTATGTGCATGGGTGTGCGTGTGTGTGTGTGTGTGTGCGTGTGTATTTGCACGTGCACATTTATGATGCCCGGCATTGGTGGCAACCTGCAGCCAGGAGGCCTGGATCCTGAACAGGCCGTGTGTAAACGCTGACACAGATGGCAAGGGGGGTGATGTCTCCGAGGACCTTTGCTCCTACTACTTCAGCGTATGTCATGCACTGCCAGCTATAAGTGAGCCCAGCGAAGATTGTAAGTAAAGAGTATAATTATTATAAATGAGGACTTTTTAGCCATGATGATGTTATGGCATATGCACATGAGCTTTGCAGTGCTATAATGTTGCATGCTGGTGTCCCTGAGGGTGTCAAGGGCCGTGCAAACCCAGGACACCAAAGATCCGCTTTTCGTCGGATTTCACCTACTGTACAAAGGAGGCTGGCGGCCGTGCGCCTACAAATTGTAGTTCTCTCTTCTGTCTTTTCATATACAGTGACTTGTACTCCCTGATGAACACAACAGACGAACATTCGTACTTTTTTGTAGATATTGAATTGAAGTGTATGACCGTGGCGGCGGCGTTGGTGGTGTTGGATAGGCACCTACAATGACAGTTAGTCAAAACTCATAACATTTTGTCCTTTCCTTTACCCCCCCCCCCCCACCATGATTACTTTGGCCCAACATCCGAGTTCAAATTCCCACTATAATACCATTCAATATTTTGTTCTTTCTCTATGATTCCCCTTTTATTTTCTCTAAGAGGCTGCCGTTACTATACTGACACGGTAAACGAGATCATGTTTGTTCTTCATTTGTTTTCAGTTTGTCATGGATCAGCTGTTTGTGCGTACAGTGATAAAGGGCAGAACCAAACGGGTGCTCAGTGGCAGTCGCTGGGAAGTTTCGAGAATTACAACGGACAAGGTGAGATGAGTGTTAGGAGTGGAGTCGGTATGCCTCGTACTCTTTATGAACGTCATTGCGAAAGACTGTTGCTGGTGTGTGTGTGTGGGGGGGGGGGCACGAATACAGACATTTGATCATGCTCGTATAATTGTGTTCAATGAGATCAGTCATCGCAAGTCAGTTGGCATCAGCCGGCAAACTACGAAGGCCTGTTTTTGCTATTGCGCAGTTTAGTTTCTACCCGTGCAAGCACATGCAGAGTTGCCGTCTCACAAGGAGACTGCCTAGTGCTGCAAAATTGCAAACTTTAATACCGCTCCTGGCTCTCGATCATGGCACAGTGAGTTGTGCCGGGATGCTATCGAGCGTGATCGTCGTGAACGTACTTCTTGAACTAAGGTGAAATGCCAACATAAGAGTACTCCAGCTAGAACATGCCGTGTGCTATAGTTATGAAGCATTACTTTGACGACCTTCCATTACGCTAAACCATTGCAGTCACTTGACCTTGGACACACAGCACCACAGTTATGAATGCCGTGTTTTCCGGAGTGTAAGCCGCACTGGAGTATAACCCCCACCCCCACCCCCCCATGTTTTGCCACGGAAAACAGACATCTACCCCATTTATCAGCATTAATTTGATCATCGGAGTATAAGCCACCCCCCCCCCCTTTCTTTGGGTGAATTTTGAGCGATCAAATTGCGGCTACTCTGGAAAATACGGTACATGTATATTTACGGCCCGTGGAAGATTGTTATACTGAAGTTTCCCTGTAAGTCAAGCACTGCCAGGGAGTACTGCCGGCTGCATCCTACTGGCGTCCAGAGTACTGGCGTCCAGAGTTTCGTGCGCGACGAACTAAATAATAGAGGCGATGTCGATGAGTTTCTGAATGCACGCATGCTACGCAGGCAATTTCCATCTCTCTTTCTGGCTTACGAATAGGTGGCTTATGAATAGGTGGCACGGAGACAATGACTTTATTATAGCAATGAGAATTAGCGAAGCGGACATCGCACGTAGTAATAATCAACAAGAATCTTTCTGGCTTCTTGTCACCTCTTTTCGCTACATACCCGTATATGGCCAGTTAGTATACTGGATCTGTCGAACCTTATACTTCAGTAGCTATCCTCTACTGGGCTTCGGTGTGTGTTGTTTGCTTGCAGCTCTTCCCAACTATCCGGAGTTCAACATTGTATACCATAAAGATGGCAACCGCTCCAGCCAGTGCCACACCATGCTGACATTCCGCTGCAACGAGAGCATCTCCTGGACGGACACCAGCGGCCGGATCATCGAGGATGTGCCGGAGGGCAGCCTGATCAGCATGCACTTCGACCCGCCGTGCTCGGTCAGTTTTGACTTTTGAGCCCGCATGGCATGGCCGGGGAATTCCCAGCTTGGGGGAATCCCAAGTTGTCGTGCCATCCTGTCACCCTGCACAGCGTGTGCTGCTCCTGAAACGAAGGTTGCAAGAGCGTTGATGTCTTTTGTCGGATTTGTTCCTTTATTACCATGTCTATGACAACATGGACAGAAAACAGACAGTCATCCTCCACAAGCTCATTGTATTGTATTGTATGGAACAGTAAAACCTGTCAAGGCGACCACTCCGATAAGCCGGTCACCTGTCCTAGAAGACCGCTGCAACCAGGACCAAGGGATGCTATTTCCAGTCAAATGGCCCTGGACAAGGCGACTGACCACCTGGTAACAGAGCCCACATTTTGCATGTCCCTTGAGCGGTCGTCTTAGACAGGTTTCACTGTATTTGTATCTAGGGATTCTCCACAGGCCTCGGCCTGACTGATCGAGTGAGTCTCTGTCATTATACACTGTGTCCTTTCCGCTGTTCTGTGCTCAGTACATTCTCCAGTTCCAGTACGACCGGGCATGTCACACACAGATACCATCGACGAGCAGCAAGCTGAGCGCTGGCTCGTACGCCGTGATAGTGTAAGTCGAATGTACCGTTTCCCTCCTTCCTCCCCTGGACTAGGATTCACATGTGCAACACAGTGCAACACGGATTTGGCAAACAGACTCTAGTGTAGCATAATTCTGTTCACCGTATTCTGGTTTCTCTATGCTCCGTCCAACACATCCAGGGTTACATGTGTCCTACTGCTGTATGTGGTGGTCGGCGTCACGTACCAAGCACTGCGCGGTCACAGAGGCTGGGACCTCATTCCGAATAGGGACGCCTGGAACGCGGTTGGAGCATACGTGGGCGTAAGTACATGACGTGCCCGCATCATTCGGAATGCCCAACTATGTGTCATGTACCAGTACAGTCGTGGCCAAAGAATTTTGACCTGTGAGCCGAAAGCAGCGCGAAGGCTCATGCGGCTCTCGGATGGGTTTTCGCCGTTTTCGGACCGTGCTTGATATCATTCAAATGGTAACGCAGCGCTGCTTTTGAGCCGTGGGTTGGATTTCTTTGGCCAGTGCTGCAGTTGTCAGTCTGTTCAGATCAACGGGCATTTTGGAAATAGTGCAACTGCAAATATTGCAATTGTGCCAATCATCCCCAATTTCTGTTCAGGGTGGATTCTCGAAATGGTGTTGTAACATACTTCAGTACTAGCCCCCCCCCCCCTTTCTTCGCCTCCCCGCATACACCGCATGCTAGGCCCAGACAAATTCTGCTCCGCTTGCCTCGATATTTTGCCGCAAAATGTTGCTGCAAAATCTTCGATATTTTGCCGAGCCTGGCACAAGAAACTTGATATTTTGCTTCCATTTTGCTCCGGAAAAACGTGTATTTTATCTACTTCCCGTACAGCTTTACATAAAAATTGTAGGGTCGGTTTCTCAACACGGGTTTCCACGCACGTGTCCCTGAGTTCTTCCAAAATCATGTCGATCCACAGTGAATCCCAGTGAATATTTCGGTGACATGATCTCGTCCTGGGCAGTGTATCCTGCTGAACGGGTAAGAAACAAGGAAGTCCAAGTATCAGGCATCGATTTTACCCAACATCTCGATATTTTGCTCTGATTTTGCCGGCAATTTCCGCTATTTAAATTCTTCGATATTTTGCCGAAAGAATTGCCGGCAGGATCTGTCTGGGCCTACCGCATGCTATCTGTATGACTCATTCTACTTGTATTACGTACTTCAAAGAAGTACAACTGATCATTCGTGTTTGAATTGTGCATGGGTTTTTTTACAGGGCGGCATCGCTATTCTACTATCCCCTTGCCGAGGTCGAGGGGCAAGAACTACGGACAGCTCAAGCACATCATTGAGTCAGCCACCGGCAGATGACGGCAAGGGAGAAAAAACAAGGCTGCTGACCTAGAACCACGCCTGCCTCTAAGACAGACGGTGTGAAGCCAATGTGCGGTGTTCGCACACATACACACACCATTCACATGTTAGCTATGATGCCTTAGTCACTGCTGACTAGAAGTTAGAACTGCATACACCGAAGGACACAACCATGCCCAACGCATTTGACCGCGCACAATACGGTCTCTTGAATGATCGATTTGGAGCATTTAAAAAAACTGATGCATGGCTAAAACCTTTTGAAATACAGTGCTTACACGATTGTACAAATTTTTGAATTTCTTCTAAATTTCAGACATGGATATATTGAGAAATTTTCCACAACCTAAAACTTCTGAATCAATTTTAATTTCTTCTTCGAATGTAAACGTGGCTGTAAAAAAAAAGAAGAGTAAATTATCGTGTCCATTCCTGAAGGGAACTCATGACGGCCGCTAACAACCGGTAAACCCTAGCGAAAGATGCAGCGCCTAACGGTGGGGATGAGTGGATAAGTCTCACAACCACTGGCACAAGTGCCGAGAAACCCCATTAGCTGCATCCATTAACCGCATCCATGAAACGTGGCTGTGATGGACCAAAGGATTGCTACTTTACCTGGAAGTACTTTCTCTCGTGTTGTGCGCTATGCAGTGTGTAGTTGCGATGCATTATGCCCATGGAAAACTGCACTGGTATGGTCACTCTGTTCAAAGCTGCACAATCAAGTCCTAGAAAATCGAGCTGAAATGCAGTGCAATTCAAGACAAAAGCGTGAACCATCGTTAAAAAATTAAAATTAAAAGAAACCTAGGCCCGCACGTATATTAAATCTGTGATCAATGTGTACCTAAATTTTCGAGATATAATTGGGCGTTTATTTTCTAATCACGTAGATACTAATAAGAGGAAGTTGCAAAACTCGTCGGAGGATGTTCCCAGAGGGATTTCCCGAAAACTCGAACCAACATTTGATTATTAGAAAAGTATGATTTTCCAGTTAAAAACGTTTATGAACTTTTCTCTTAAAATCCTGTTGCAGACTTTAGAACTGCACTGTAGCATCCGCTAGCAACCACTGGCCAAATGCAAATGCAAAGCATAGGGCCACGTGGCAGAATAATTGCGACATTGTCTCGTGATCGACTCCTGTCCACCGATTTTCAAAGTCCCTTGGCAACCGACCGCAGCAACGAGATTGATGAGCCTCTGTAGCCGGAGCCAAAGTGATTCCTGATGAGTAAATACAACCAAAGAGCATGTGAAGAGCAGCCGTTAACAGGCAGCCAGGAACAATACCACAGGGGCGTAGTCCGGGGTAAATTCGAAGTGGTCCCATATCTATCTGGTCCCATATCTACATGTATCTATCTGGTCCCCTATCTACATGTATCTATCTGGTCCCCTATCTACATGTATCTACTTTGAAGTATCTGGTCCCCTATCTACATATATCTGTCTGGTCCCCTATCTATCTGGACTCACTCCCATTCCGGGTTATCCGCCCAAAGCAGTGTAGCACTGTTTTCGTCACAAAACTAGCTGAATTGCCTACTTCCTGGGCATGCCAGTCACTAGTCGGCTTACGCCCCTGCCACACAACACACGCCAAGCTAAATCTACCCAGGCACGGCGACAAGTGAAGGCTTCACGCAGAAAGAAGAAGGCATTCACTAGGTGCATGTGCACCCCCCCCCCCCCCACACACACACACACAACACACACCTATTGTACTACACGTAATACTTACCAGTGATTAAGATGGTGAAATAGTTGGTAGAGATCAGTCCTCTTGTCAAAGTTGGGTGACTTGGGCACAACCTTGTGATATGCATTGTGAAATGCAGGCGAGAAACTTCCAAACATTACTCCGATGCCCAGGTCAAACTCATGGTGACCATAGCATGATGCTGGGTCAAACACAACTGCAGCAGGCAAGGCCGAAGAATCAGTAAGGTAGGCACCAAAACAGCGCTTAAAACAAAATGTCAGCGTACTTTTTTGATTACACGAGGCAGGAGAAATTGCGTCCCGGGCACACACAGGCAGTTAAAGGGTTCAATCAATCAGAGTGCTTGCGCTTCCATGGCAACACATGAGTTTTGGTCACTGGGCCATTATCAGCCATTTCAAAATCCCTGTATGACTTGTTCCGATTTGAACAGTGTGGATATGAGTTGGAGTTCATTTGCGCTTGGATCAAACGTCATACAACTCAACAGAAAACCTCATCAGACTTTTCCTCATGATGGCATAACCGCCCGCTCCATTAAGCACACCATGTCATTTGGCAACTCCACGGCCTCTCTCCCTGCCTCCCACCCACCGAGACACAACACACAGACACCCCCTCTCCCCCCCCCCCCACACACACGCTCTCTCGCTCTCTCTCTCTCTCTCTCTCTCTCTCTCTCTCTCTCTCTCTCTCTCTCTCTCTCTCTCTCTCTCTCTCTCTCTCTCTCTCTCTCTCTCTCTCTCTCTCTCTCTCTCTCTCTCTCTCTGTCTCTCTGTCTCTCTGTCTCTCTGTCTCTCTGTCTCTCTGTCTCTCTGTCTCTCTGTCTCTCTGTCTCTCTGTCTCTCTGTCTCTCTGTCTCTCTCTGTCTCTCTCTCTCTCTGTCTGTCTGTCTGTCTGTCTCTCTCTCTCTCTCTCTCTCTCTCTCTCTCTCTCTCTCTCTCTCTCTCTCTCTCTCTCTCTCTCTCTCTCTCTCTCTCTCTCTCTCTCCCCCCCCTAAATACTCTCTCTCACTCACTTGCAAACATATCTGCAATAGGTCACCTGTGTTTGATTGGGAGACAAACTGGTAACAAGGGAGAGAACATGACTGTGCATTACGGCACCACAGGTATGCAGGGAACGAATAATGGGGGATTCACGAGTATTGCAAGCATGCAGCCAAGCACATTGCACTCACCTGGTGAGGTCGCCGTCTGGCCAACATTCCCTCCCCACAGGTCACCGTGGATGAGCGACGGCTTGACCTCGACATCGCGGAAGAAACTGTCGATCTTCAGCTGAGCTTCAGACCAAAGCTGCAGTGCTTCGCGGTCACCATGCTATGCAAGAAAGAATGCACGTGGAAACACATCAGGCATCAGGTACTGTAGTTGTACATTTCATCCCAACTACAATGCCTATCTTTCCTGGCCACAGGAAAAGAGTGGTAGTTGTTCACCGAACCAAAAACAGGAGAGAATTCTTTTTTCGTGTTCACATGCGTGCACACGCATGCACGCATGCGGGCACACACACATACACACAAACACGCACACGCGCACACACACACACACACGTACTCACCCGTGAAGCTCAGTGTTGTTCAGTAATACACTTCACGGCTATCCCTATCTCGCTATCTAGCCAATCCCCACACACGAACTCATTCATTAAAAGTGTGTACTGAAGTACTCCAGTATTATAAAGTGAGAAACCTTCGCTAAAGACTAATAAATTTCGCTATTTTCGCGACCACTACACATTCGCGAAATAAAATCGTCGCTAACTGCTCCGTGTATTGTTGTAAACAATACATGTGCAGAATCCAGCTAAAGGAGGACGAGTACTGACAAGTCGCCAACAAGGCTAAGGATAGCTACAGTGCTGCTCAATGAAATGCGATCACTTGAGTCCGGAATGCACCCTGGGCCAGTACACCATCCCAGCGTTGGCAGGTGTAGGGCTGCACGGCGCCTGGCAGTGTGGCATTCACTCGCTTGATCGGATTTCACAGAGCGCAGCACTATAGAGGAGAGTAGCACAGTGCGTGCGTTCGATTATGCCAGCGGGATCGATGTTGAATCCATTCATGAATCGCACCTGGCTATTCACACCACCCCATGTGAATAGGGCGAATGGATTCCTAACCGATTCCAGCGCTCACGACATGAAATCAAACGACGAGATTCCATTCATGAATCGATTCACAGCAGTAATTGAACTTGCTTTAGCAGTGTTGTCGGCGTGCATTCACGTCTTACGTTTTCAGCAAGCATGTCCATCTGCGTCTGCAAACGACTCCGCGCATAAAACTCCTGGTGCACAGAATTTCACAGAAAAACAGAGAGGAGAGCAAACACAACATACTGCAAGTCAACAAATATTCGGCGCATATATATTTTCGGCTATTTTCGGCCTGGTCATGTTTGGAATAGGCCGGAAATTTGTTGCGGCCGAAATTCTGTTTTGTAAGGCTCAGTGTGACAGTGTATGCGGGCAGCAGCAGTACAGGCCGAAAATTTATGATGCGGCCGGAATGGGTTTTAGCCCTGGGAGGCCAAGATTTGAATAGGCCGAAAATTTGTCGACCCACAGTAGACAGCTGATTACAGTAGGTACGCAAGTACAGTACTGGCCAAAAAAATCCAACCTCATGAATAAAATAGCATTGCCGGGCTCTACACAGCCCTAGCACTACACATACTGGTCTGTGGACTCGAACGCGGCGCTACTGCACAAGTTCTAACACCAAGAGTTCGCACAGTTGAACAATGAGGATAAACTCAATCGACCCGGCAGCTAGCTTAGGACCAGAAGATGCCGTGATCACAGATTCGCCATGCTTGGTCCAACCAAGTACCCATCAGGCAGACATACCCGAATCAGGGACCCTCGTCGGATTATCCTCTATTTCTTAGTGTAGCTACAGCAAGCCTTATTCCCGAACCATCTGTGATGACTGTGATGCAGATGATTGTGACACGGAACAATGGTGAGCTTACCGGCCATGAGGCACACCAGGTGTTGTCCTGGGGCAAGAAGCCACAGCAGGTGGTGCACTCAAACCCAAACTGCTCCACGCCACTGACAGCGACGTCATCGTGACCTTCGGCACCACTTCCATTGCCACCGTCGCCACCGCCACCACGTTCGCTTGGGGACTTGCCAGTGATGCGACTCTCAGCAGCAGAGCACGCCCGCAGCAAGCCAATGTTGTGCTGGTGAAGCCTACGCTCATACATATACACACAGACAGACGCACACACGCACACGCATGCACACACACACACACACGCACACACGCACACACGCACACACGCACACACACACACACACACACACACACACACACACACACACACACACACACACACACACACACACACACACACACAGTAAACTTTGCTTTTACATTCTTCCACGTAAACGCCATGCAGGACAAAGTAATCGTCCGAGAAAAAACGCAATAGAAGCGACACACCAACACATAAATAAAATCATGAAGATACATGTTATGTGTTGGTGTGTGGCTCCTAATGCGTCACTCTTCGGAAAGATTACTTAGACCTGCATGGCATTTGCGCAGACAAATGTGAAGAAAAAAAAGAAAGAAAAAAGGAAAAGGAAGCTGCGGTAAAGTCAGAGATCAAGCCGCTGGGCTTCTAGCAAAGAGCAGACTGGATTCAAGTGTAGCTGGTCCAGATACTTCACTCAACCATTTCAGATACCTGAGAAACGAGGCACACACTATCATACATTGACAGACAAACGGATAGATACACCAACACAGCCATACGGCAAGCAGACACACATGTCTGCCAGGGTAGTACAAACGTATGTGCACAAACAAACGTACAAATAGATTCTTGGTGGGAGGGAAACAAACCAACGCACAAAGCATAGAAGCCGTACAATTTCGACAAGGCCTTTCGTAACTTTACTTTTCAAGTTGAATACAGTGGTGATTAACGCCGCAGCAAGTAAGTCCATAACCGGCACTTTGGCGGTCAGAGCAGTGACAACAATAGCACCTAAGACGGGTACAAGTACACACTCACGTACACACCCACACCGAGGCACACGATCCCTCACCTTCCCAGGTCCGTCCCGAGCTGCGCCTGCATGGATCCGCACGACGACATATCGAGGTGCTCCATAACGAACACACCGCCAGTGCCGCGCGGATGCTCGAACAGCTGAGAGCGCACACAACACAGACAGTGAGCGGCTAGCCTTCCGCACAATGCTGCACACCGAGCATGCACAAAGCCCCCGAGAGCATATAGTGCACAGAACATGCAGTGTACAGCTAGCCTAGCGCACAATACTGCAAACCGAGCATGCACAGACCATGCACAAAGCTCCGACTGACATATAGTGCACAGAACATGCAGGTTGCTCTGGCACACGCATCCGGCATGGAAACTGCAGCTCACGGCAGGCCCCGTCTTGCACGACACAGGATGCTTCTAGAACACAACCTCAGACCAGGCCAGTACATGTCTTGATTCATTCAAGCTACATTTGTGGACATTGCAATCCGGTGGAAGGACCGGGGGCCGTCGCCCTTACAACCTTAGTGCGTACACGCACCGTGGTTCACGTACACACTGTAAACAAGGACCAGCAGTGCTCGTGCCTGCAAGGCCAGCGCCCCGTGGCCGCTTGAGTTCTCAACGGATTACAATGTTCACAACAGTAGCTAGTGAATGTCTACCAAAACATCACCGCCACTAGACTACCCTGACATCACCGCCACTAGACTACCCTGACATCACCGCCACTAGACTACCCTGTATGAGAACTAGCACCGGAAGAGCCTTACTGTAAAACAGCTAATTTGAGCGACGGTGATATTTTAGTGATAGCTTGCATAGACCTCGGTCCTACCGGTAGGACCTACCGGTAGGACCATCATACACAGACATGCTGCATGGCCTCTGTTCTAACATTGACCTAAAACTTGACCCTAAACTGCTGCTCAGGGGCTAATGAAGGAGTCCACAAATTTTAGACGTGATCGGACAAAGCATACTACGAAAGTCCATGGTAACAGTCTATGGTAACCATGGAAACAGAGTATGGAATTATGCATTCCACTGCCATGGCAGGCTAATAGAAATATTAGGACCTCATCACGATTGATGTGCCATGGTCAAAATTCACTTTGGACAGAGTTGCTAGCGCTCCGACAGGGGTATGTGCGGCCATTTTGACAATTGATAAAATTGCACATTAGCAATGCACTGGACATAGCCTTGCATTTGGCGCCATTGCTTTGCCTGACGAAGACCTCATCTCAACAATTGTTTCAAGAAATTTCTCAACCAAAAGCACTTTTGCGGCACGATTTCTTGGGTCCTACCGGTAGGACGGCATGCAAGCGAAATGAGTGTTTTCGCTGCCAATTTTGCGTGTACAGTACGTACAGTACAGTGCTAATCATACTTCTTTTAGAGTCTGAAACTCGGATCGCTAAAATATTTCATTGCGAATTGGTCCAGATTCAGAAAACGCTAAAATTCTTAACCGCTACAATTAGCCGTTCTACAGTTAGTACAGCACTCATCTTATGACCACACAGTTCAGTACTAGTACCTTGATTGGAGCAGGCACACGGATGGTGTTGGTGCGATGGATGGTGGTCAGACTTGCCTCCTCGCCGACAAACATACGCATTGCCTAGTCGGCCCAGGAACACACACAGCAGAGCAGACACAAACACAAAACTCAGACCAGGCCGGAACGTGCGCAGGCAATAACAATCGCAGCAGCGGTGCGCTTAGAGGTGGAGGTTGTAGAGTATGATGTTTGGAAGAAAGCGGTCAGTGTGTGTGTGCGCGTGTGTGTGTGCGTGCGCGCGCGCGTGCGTGCGTGTGTGTGTGTGTGTGTGCGTGTGCGTGTGTCTGTTTGTGTGTGTGTGTTGTGGAGGATTGTTGCCTGAGCGATGCCCTTAGCATAGACCTGAACCAATGCTACACATATATAAATTATATTGCCAGGCTTGCAGGCTCACAGCCAATACAAAGCTATAGTCACTAGTGACACCGCTGTATTTTCCTGACGCGGGTCATCATCAGCTGTTGCTTCACAAGACAGGTATCGCATATGGACCCTGGCCCAATGTAGAACGACCCTGCCCGGTCACGAAGGCAGCCAACCCTAGCTACAAGGAAGCGTTCAGCGTGTGTGGGCAAGCTGAGATCATCAAGAATCAGACTTGCCCAGTTCGTCCATCAATGGTATGCCCGGCTTGCTTCTGTTCTCCTCTGCCAGATGACCAGCACATGTACAGAAAGGTCTGGTGGCAAGTCAAGCGAAACTTAGCCAGACATGCATGTGAGGAGGCAGACAACCTCCGTCAGGCGATTACACTCTTGAGTGGAGGAGCCGGACACCAGAGCAAGTGTCACCCTTCACGATGTCCATGTCCAGCAGGATAAAGGCAGCCATCCACGCCGAGGGTGGACATAACCATAACTAGTCTGCCCGCTCTGCTCGCCTCTCCATAGACAAAGGAACTTCTTACAGGACTCCCGCTGCTTTTGAGAGACTAAGAAAGGAGCCTAGTGCCTACAGGGTTCCTGTGCGTGCGTCGCATGCCACGTAACAGCTTGTTTCGTAGGTTGAGCCGCTTTTCTCGCTTTTGTCTTTCGGAGTTGAGGCTCGATTGATTGTTCTTTCAACTTCAGCGAGTTGGCACGCCTGTATTTTGTATTGCCAGGACAGGCAGGTGTTGCCCTTATTCATATCAAGTATTGTCCTTTACACGCAGCCATAAAATTACAACTCCCTGGTCCGTACTGCACCAGCACAATGCATGATTGCATGCAGGGCACGTGCATAGGCGTAGTGCATGCGCACCACCTACCGTGTACCGTACCACGTTGGCCGGATTGGCTGTAGTAGGCCAGATCACGCCCAGCAGCCCTGTCTCACGGAGAAGAATCACTCACTGGGTATGAAACTACGTTCAATGCGACTGAATGTGAATGCGATGCCAGAGATCATGTGACAAAGGCAGAAGCCTCACACAGCAACAATGGCCGACTATTAGAATCAACGTTGTGCCTTGTCCGGCAGCCCTGATTCATGGAGGTATCGTAGTGTGTTATCTTGTGTACGTCGTGTAGTGTACGTGCTGTTGGTGCGGGGCGTGTTGCTGCTGTGTAGTACTAGCGAGTCAGTCTTCGTCTTGAGTTGGCCATGGCCAGTTGCGTGTTTCCGCCGTCCCTTTGTAAATAGGGCCCCTTTTCTAATGCAGTCAGCGCATCAATTGGTCTCGAGTGTGGAGATGGCACGGCTGGGAGCAGTACGATCCGGCCAGTTACAACAAAGGGATTGTACTGGATATCAAATCACTTTCAATGCGACTGAATAAATAACACAAGGGTGCGATTCAGCCAGTTACAACAAAGGGGTTGTACTGGATATCGAATCACTTTCAATGCGACTGAATGAATAACACGAGGATACGATTCAGCCAGTTACAACAAAGGGGTTGTACTGGATATCGAATCACTTTCAATGCGACTGAATGAATAACACAAGGGTACGATTCGGCCAGTTACAACAAAGGGATTGTACTGGATATCGAATCACTTTCAATGCGACTGAATGAATAACACAAGGGTACGATCCGGCCAGTTACAACAAAGGGGTTGTACTGGATATCGAATCACTTTCAATGCGACTGAATGAATACCACAAGGGTACGATTCGGCCAGTTACAATGAAGGGATTGTACTGGATATCGAATCACTTTCAATGCGACTGAATGAATAACACAAGGGTACGATCCGGCCAGTTACAACAAAGGGATTGTACTGGATATCGAATCACTTTCAATGCGACTGAATGAATACCACAAGGGTACAGCTGGGGACGGCTTATTCGAATGACACGCCGGCTCATTTTCCGGAAGGATAGAGGCCCTCGGAGAACATTCCACACACTCTGTGCTTCTCACCCGAGAGTTCCAACGGGAGCCCGGAAAACAAGAAACTGCCGGTATGGATTGACACTGGGACCGCCAAGAACGTTAGTCTTACGGCGTGGTGCCAACTTCAGGTGCTCCTCCGCGCATTACCAACGAAATCCGTGAGCAGTGACTGGACCGCACATGCACAAAGAACGGAGACTTTGATGAGGCTTTGATGAATCGAGCAACGGTAGTTAAGTTCAAAGTTCCCACTGAATCAATATTAACTCTTTAATGATAGCTTGCATAGACCTCGGTCCTACCGGTAGGACCTACCGGTAGGACCTACCGGTAGGACCATCATACACAGACATGCTGCATGGCCTCTGTTCTAAAATTGACCTAAAACTTGACCCTAAACTGTTGCTCAAGGGCTAATGAAGGAGTCCACAAATTTTAGACGTGATCGCACAAGGCATGCTACGAAATTTCATGGTAACAGCCCATGGTAACCATGGAAACAGAGTATGGAATTATGCATTCCGCTGCCTTGGCAAGCTAATAAAAACATTAGGACCTCACCAAGATTGATGTGCCATGGTCAAAATTCACTTTGGACAGAGTTGCTAGTGCTCCGACAGGAGTATATGCGGCCATTTTGAAAATTGCTAAAATTGCGCATACGCAATGCACTGGACATAGCCTTGCATTTTGCGCCACTACTTTGCCTGACAAAGACCTCATCTCAACAATTTTTTCAAGAAATTTCTCAACCAAAATAACTTTTGCAGCGCGATTTCTTCGGTCCTACCGGTAGGACCCGTGGTCCTACCGGTAGGACGGCATGCAAGCTATCATTAACTTTTTAACCACCCACATGCTAGATTGTGCATTTTCAATGTTATTTTAATGATAGAAGCAAGCAGGCATAGTGGGGTGGTCTAAGACCATGATTGAGAAACAGAGGGTACCAGGTTCAAGTCCTGCTTGGAAGCGGAAGGAATTTTTCCAGCCGTGCTGCTACCCACAGTTAATTGGGAACTCGTGGCCTGGCACGAGGGTAACATGGATGCAGCTAAGGCCAAGTAAAAAAAAAAGCTAGATGATCGTCCCCGTCCGCCCCAGTTTTTGTCAGCGCCCCAAGAAATATTTTATTTTTTAAATCGTGAGTTGTTGCCCAAATCGTTGGTTTTTTACCGATCGCGGATGCAGGAAACATGTGCACTCTTTCTTTAATACTTTCTTTACTATATGGACCACATACGTATATACTACGAGTATATCACAACGTCAGTATCGATCTGCTGAAGAAAGAAAAAGAAAAAAAGAAAAAAAAGAAAAAAAGAGAAAAAAAACCTTGATGTTGTTGTGTACATGTATACAGTACACTGTGTGCATGAGAGGGTAAAAAGTAAAAAAATAAAAATAAAATCCTCCCGCCCTCCCCGATTTTTCCAAAAAAAAGGACGATCATCTAGTAATTTTTTTTACTCGGCCTAATGGGATTTCGGTCTTTGACCACTTGGTGGTGGGTCTGATCTACTCACCTCCCACCGTTTAGGCGCTGCATCTGCGCCTTTGATCCTAGAGGGTGGTGGCGTTCCCACGGCGGATGCGGAAAACTCGGCTTCCAGCCGAGTCTCACGCGAACCGTGAAATTATTATTATTTATTATTATTATTTATGTGCAAGCCTCTTTTACGGGCAAAAATTAACACAATGTATTAAAAAAGCAATACAACATACACTGGAGAAGAAATCAGGAAAATAAAATATGAGCTCAAAAATGGAACGAAAAATAGCAAATAGAATCAAAACTCACGATGGAATCAAACTCACGATGGAATCAAACTCATGATGGAAACTACAACCCAATGAGTTGGAAAACCAACCACAGAATTAGATATTGGGAATAGAGTCAGACACAACAACAACCGAAATCAGTACACCAAAAATCTGTCCTACAAAAAAACAAAGGAACAAGAAAAACAAGAAAGACGAAGTACAAAGAATCCCCAAAAAAGAGGGGAGAACGGGATGAAAGAGGACCGGAGAGCGGCAAACCCCAGGAGGACTTAGCGTCACGTAGTGGCGGGAATGCGGGCCTCCACAGAAACAGCATCCACATCCGCCGCCAGACCAGGTGCACGGAATGCACGGCGACTCCCACGAACCATCAGGACGGAGTCGCGGACAAGGCTGAAAGCCAGGTCCGTCCGCAGCTTTCCCATCACGAGGGGATAAGGCTGCGAGAGCTTGGTGGAGAGCTTCGTTCCGAGCAGCTTCAGGAACCGGGTGGCCTCCTTCGCCAGGGCACCAGCATTTATTATTATTATTATTTATTATTATTATTATTTATTTTAATGATAGCTTGCATAGACCTCGGTCCTACCGGTAGGACCTACCGGTAGGACCATCATACACGTACGCCACACTCAGAGGACAGATTATCATTGTTGTTCCAAGGAGAGTCTCAGGAAGAAGGCACCCAAAACAACCAGAATGCGCACGATAAGCATGCAAGCATGCGCACAACAAGAACATGTACGATAATCTCCAACCGGCGCAGTCCGCGCGCGGTCCGCACCAACGTGCCAAAAGGGGCACACACGTGCCAAAAGGGCAGGGACAACACAGACATGCTGCATGGCCTCTGTTTCAACATTCACCTAAAACTTGACCCTTAATTAATTAACTGTTGCTAAGGGGCTAATGAAGGAGTCCACAAATTTTAGATGTGATCGCACAAGGCATACTACGAAATTCCATGGTAACAGCCCATGGTAACCATGGAAACGAAGTATGGAATTATGCATTCCACTGCCTTGGCAAGCTAATATAAACATTAGGACCTCACCACAATTGATGTGCCATGGTCAAAATTCACTTTGGACAGAGTTGCTAGCGCACCGACAGGATTATGTGCGGTCATTTTGACATTCGATAAAATTGCGCATACGCAATGCGCCTTGCATTTTACGCCATTACTTTGCCTGACAAAGACCTCATCTCAACAATTGTTTCAAGAAATTTCTCAACCAAAGGCACTTTTGCAGCTCGATTTCTTGGGTCCTACCGGTAGGACGGTATGCAAGCTATCATTTTAATAAGGTCAGACTGGTGAATAGACTAATGCATAACTATGTGCACTAGTTCATCCAGCTCCAGTAGCAGACAATCTGTCCACTTTGACACAGACTAAACTTACTAAAAGGCTACAATTGTAGAAGCTTGTTGAAAATTCGGCATTCCGTAGTGTGCGGAATTGAAAGGGGTTCATTCAAAATTTGGTACAATCTTTGGACAAAATCTAATTCCTGATGTCGTAGTCTCCCTGTGTAGAGTGCTACGAGTTATCTCCAACATATATCTTTTCAAGGTCTACGATAGACAATTGTGGCCAAATGAGTGGGCTCTGGGACCTGCTTCTCCAAACATTTCGCCCTGGTGCTGTCAAGACCCCAGTATGCAGCCTGATTCATCCATTACTTCACATACGGGAAGTACATCGTGCGGCCGATGGGCCAAACAAGTTGAGCTCAAGTCTACTTGTTCGCGATGCGACACGTTTCCCACACGCAAAATGAAGTATGAATCAAAAGGTGGACTGTACGGTGGCAGGTGGCAGACTCTCGTCAGCAAGCTGCGTTCACCATACATCAGCTCTGGGTCCCGGTAGTCTGATCGCTATAGTTCATATTGTAAGTTGCATTTCACTAGCTCTGCCCTTCACCTTGGCACCCTAGCCCTGATGTACAAGTTATTGAGGGGCCAAGGAGTTGGGAGACGGATTTCCTCGCCAACTACCCACTCATAACGATGCAGTATCGTTTGCGGGGTTTCCAGAACGTACAGTACATTGCCAAAGAAGAACATGAAAAATACCAAACAGCAACCAAACAACTCCAGGAGTGGCACACCAGAGCCATCACCATGCAGGTTCCGCAAAAGAGAAGGTCCCGCTCGCATTTGTTGGCGTAGCGAACTTCAAACTTTCTGCCAAAGCATAACTTACGCCTCCTAGTTACGCTTTGGTGGCGCCGCCAAAAAAAGTGCATGTGTCACCGCGGCGGCCTATTTAAAGCCAATAAGAGAATTTAATGTTTATAAAATACTCCTTTTTAGGAACAATTTCGAAAGAAGTGTCAGCACCGACGCAATCCACACAGTCGAATAAAGCGAACGAAAACGGAATGAAACATTCGGTTACAAAATAGGCTTATCAACTGGCTTAAAATTCACTTTATTCCCGTAGCTATGCAGAAGACGTTACTTCAGTAACGTCTGGCGCTAGCCAGGGTCCACACAGCTTTAATTTGGTGTTTGTGTGTTTGTGTCACGCCTGGAGCTACCGTATCTGTCCCGTATCTGTCCCGTATCTGTGATTTGGTGTTTGTTTGTTTGTGTGTGTGGTGTCACGCCTGGAGCTACCGTATCTGTCCAATAAAAAAAAATATCTGTGATTTGGTGTTTGTTTGTTTGTGTGCTTGTGTCACGCCTGGAGCTACCGTATCTGTCCCGTATCTGTGACTACAAAGGTTCTACAGGATTGTACATAACAGCTGGCCACAAACAGCTGGTCACAATATTCGTCGTATTATGTATACGACTCCCTGATATAGAGGGAGATTTGGAAAGAAAATTAATAGGGAGACGAGGAGGAAATAAAATTAGAATGGACGCTAGTTGCGGAATAGGTGATAGGATGAATCAGCAAAAACAGACTTTAGAAGAGAGATACTTTGGAAGAGAGATCCCGTCGTCTCCAAAGTAAGCGTGAACGGGCGATTCAGCGCCGGTCACAGGAAACGTCGGAAGAGAGATCCTGTCGACTCCAGAACGCCCGTGATCGGCAGAGTCAGCGCCGGTCCCAGGAAACGTCAGGACAGACGCAGAACCGACTCCGAAATAAGCGTGAACGGGCGATTCGCCGCCGGTCACAGGAAACGTCGGAAGAGAGATACCGTCGAGTCCAGAACGCCCGTGGTCGGCAGAGTCAGCGCCGGTCACAGGAAACGTAAGGACAGACATCTCGTCGACTCCAAAATAAGCGTGAACGGGCGATTTAGCGCCGGTCACAGGAAACGTCAGAAGAGAGATCCCGTCGAGGCCAGAACGCCCGTGATCGGCAGAGTCAGCGCCGGTCACAGAAAACGTCAGGACAGACATCAGGACATTTTTTGCCTAGCTCATCGTACATGTTACTCTATAGAACTGATGGAAATGTTTTTTTTTCCGTTAATTGGCTACATCATTGTATTGCAAAAACGTTTCAATCAGTTTGAATATGAGTTAGGCAAAAGTATTTGCAGATTTTTTTGCGGATTGTTATCTTTCTCTCACTTCATCCGCTTTTGGTTTGCTCCTTCTTTTCCTTTTTATCTCCTTAAAATCGGATTTTCTGGCCTTTTTACATTAAAAGCATAGCGTAGGGCCCTGAGCTTCCAAGCTCTCTCGTTTGACCGTGTGGATTGCGTCGGTGCTGATACTTCTTTCGAAAATGTAGTAGCCACAGGATTTATTGCATACAGTCATGCCTCGCTTATCCTGTCCTCTTTTATCTGGATCACTCGCCATCCGGAAGAAAATAGCTGGTTACTCGGTCCAATTGTTTGGGATCAAAATTTAAAACCTGCACACTTTTTCTAAATAATTAGGACACCTCCATAAACCAGACTCAAGATAGGACTGGTCCCCATGGCGACAGTGAGAGGTGCCACTGGCCATGTCGGCATGGAACCTCTCGCGACGACACACACACACACACACAGCCCGACTGAGAATCAGGACTTGTGTCATTGAGGCACAACCAACGGCAGGCACGGCACGGACGATTTCCTAACCTCCGTCTTCTCGTTGGTCTTCACAAACACCTTTCCGGTGTCCGCTTCGTACGACGTGCCATTGCTGATGCATCCACCACTGGCGCTGCCACAGGACTTCAGCTTGGCCGTACCCAGCTCTCGCTTCAGGATCTCTTCCATCTGCAGCCTGGTCTACACCACACAGCACACACACACACAGTGACACACACACACACACACACACACACACACACACACACACACACACACACACACACACACACGAATACAAGTAAATACATCAGGCGAAGTGGAGACTATAATCTTAATTAATAATGCATCGAGCACTCTCTCTCTCGACCTGCCGAATCTCTCCCTGAGTGCGTATGTTAAATAAGGATTTTTCCCCGAAATATCTCAACTACAACTTGGCAGACAGTCGCTAAAGCCTGGCCTCAGTCACCAAAGCTTACAGGACAGCTGTCTGTCGTGGGTGTTGCCGTGTTCGCTATTTCAGTGACGCACATGTTGTACATGTGCCTGCACGTGTTGTCTCTTTGTCGTACCTGCTGCTGTATTTGTGTCTCTGTGTCTGCTGACCCGTACATGCTGCTGCGCTGCTTTGTTGCTGACACCTGCACCTTTTTGTGCTGAGTACACCACTTTTTGTGCTGACGAGGGCACCAGTTTCTGATATCATGTTTCCTTTTGCCATGTCAGTTGTCAGTTCTCCCGTCGGATCCTGAGGTGTAGTAATGAAAAGCTCTCTCTCTAGCTCTAGAGAAAAACCACTTGACTAGTCCGTTTGATGTGTGGCGTGGCGAGGGTATAGTCGAGGCAGCTCGTTCTCCAACCGAGACGACACACACGTCATCTACAGTGGTGCTCAGTGAAACCAAGTCGCGTCACTCAAGTACGCGCCGGGCAGTGCGCAGCCATAGACCTGCCAACACGGGGCTGCGAAATGATGCAAGGCGTAAACTTGAGTGACACGACTGGATTTCATTGAGCGGGACTGTACATGGGCATGCAGTGGTACTAGTATTGGTCGGCCAGTTGTCGCCCAGCGGGCCCCAGCATACAGCACCATAGCTAAGCGACGCCCTCTGTGCCCAAGAGAGAAGCTAGAGATTATGCGGGTGGACAGGCACATCAATATCAACAAGAGATGCAGTAACACAGAAGCACAATTTGAATAGAAGCCGCTTTCTGCAAAATACACGGGCAAGTATTTGCACAGTACATGCGTGGCAGCATGCACTGCACACGGTGTAGACCGATGATATTGATTTACATGTACATGTAGAAGCATATATTGAATAGAAAGATGGTTTGAATCCCATGTGGTTGTAAGCGCCTAAGCGTAACGTGTATCCTGTTTGCGCCTATTTCAAGTCTAGTGATGTCACCCAATATCTGTCTTTTAATTACCAGTGCATTGGCTCTGGCTTTTTTCGTCATTCTCTTCAAAGGTCATTATTTTCTCTTGTTTATTCATTCCACTTTTCTGGCACATCCGGATTGCTGCGAGGCCAAAACCTCGTGGTCGGCTGAGCTCCAAGGCCTCGTCACCACATGCTCTCGCTCTTCTTGAGCTGTGGCTTTTGTAAAAAAAAAGTAAAACAAAAAACAAAATAGAAAACCCACCCAGCTCACACAAGTGCACATTACACTATTGGCATGTGCAGTTATTCACTCGCGCTATAATATCCACTCTTGCTGCAGCCTATGTCAATCACATCTTCAGAACATTGGCGTTTATTATTACAGGTGGAATCCTGATAATTCGAATATGGCTTTTAATTCGAACATACCGCTTTTAATTAGAAGTTTTTCCAGGACCGATTTCTATCAATACGATTCCCACATAAAAAATTCTGATCATTCGAACCTCGAACTCGACATGTCCGGTTAATTAGAAGTCCCACAGATTCCACTTACATAGAAAATGTGTGGGATTTGTGCTGATAATTTGAAGTTAGCAAAGTGTAATTCGAAGTAATCACTGTACACTGTACTGGTCAGTTCAGTTTGCACGAGCAGGCTGTGCCGGTCAGTTCAGTGTTCGTAAAATTTGTGTCTAAGGTCCATAGCGCAACTCTGCGTGACCGTGAGAGCATTTTGACATACATATTATGTTGTGGGTTCATGTTTGGATAATTAGAATGTCTGGATAATTCTGAGAAGTTTTTTCCTGGCATTTTGAGGTTCGAATTATCAGGATTTCACCTGTATTATCTATTCATATCTTAATTAGGGGTGTCAACGAGTAGTAGGGTACCCGTGCTACCCGTAATTTGATCGGGTAGTAGGGTAGCAATTTGCTCCTGAGGACCCGATCGGGTAGTTGGAGTACGGTGTTTCTGCAACGGTGCATGTAATCAGCACGGCTACATGCTTACTGTACACTTTCTACGTAGCGCAAGTGCACAGCACAAACTCTAAAAATACCCGATAGGGTACCCGTGCTACCCGGACAAAAATACCCGAACCCGTTACCCGGCGAAACCCCTACCCGTTGCAGCCCTAATGATAATAGGGCAGTCCCCACAGACTCAAGGTCTTCTTACGGGGTACCCTAAGAATGAAAGTTTAGCCAGTGGTGTCTGATGATCGCTAAAATCGTGAAACTCAAAGTTACAGCAGGAACGCTTTGTTTTCTTCTTTCTACGTGCAAATAGGGGGGGGGGGGGGGTGTAGGCGCATACATAATCATTGCATGCATGATATCAAGAGTCCATAACCCCAGCACGGCTGTTAGCTGCACTTGGATCGCGGCAACTTACTTGTAGTTTTCTGTACGTGAACCATGAAAAATCAATGCATGCTCATGCATGTTCATGCATAACCAGTCAGCTGGCCTGCTCGCCCACGCATTTGACAGGTAACAATTCCATCAAATTTGAGATATCGCTTCGTTCTAAGTCTCAAAACAGTTCTAAAGTCACCAAACCACGCTGGTAATCGATGGCTATTCAATGTTAACATCTTCAGGAAGACTTCAGCCGTTTCCCGAGAGTTTGGGCATCGTTGCCGTTATTTTTCACGGTGTTCTTCTTCCTCCTGTCTGGAGCTGCAATTGCATCCTGGAATTATTTGAAAGGTATTTCGTGCGGGCTGTGGGAGGTTCCAACAGGCACAAACTGACATCGCTATAGGATAACTGGTAACTTTCACCCTTCAAGGAGGTAGAGCAATGAGAATTTTTTTGTGGCGGTCGTCCAATTTTTGTGGCGGCCGTGGCTGTATTTGTGCACTTCCAAGGCTTTCATTCTGCCTGATACTACTCTCTACTGTATGGGAATCGTTGTTTAGGCACATGTAGCTGTCTTATTTGGTAGATCTGCTGTTTCAATCACTTGGGACACTTTGTATAGCCTATTTGTCTTTCGTTCGTGCCATCTATCAGTTTTGTGGGGTGCCTTGACCTGTATTTTGTGAAGTTCTCGAGTAAAGACCCTAATTCTTGACTGGAGTCACGTCTTGAATTGAATTTGCTGGGCGAGCCCTCGTTCACGCAGTTGTCCTTATCGTAATAGTCAATATCTGCTTGCTGGACGGACTAGCGGCTAGAACAGGGATGACCAAATGGTCCAAGTGTGTACTAGTACACGATTATTGTTTCCATCATCGTGAAATGAGCGTTGTGGAATTGCAGTCATCTGCCTTTGGCACTGAGGACATGAGGAGAGTTGATTGTTACTTCTGCTCAGCAATGAAGCGATCATCAGCTCTCTTTGTTCTAATTATTGAGAGGACATACCGGCATCGCAATCAAGTAAAGATTAGGCAAACCTCGCCAACCTCCAAAGTTGAAAGAGAGTCGAGGATATTTTCTCCAAATGCAAAGACGATCTTTGTGAGTTTGTGACTTGCATTTGCGTGCATACATGAGCAAGTCACGGACCACGGCACGTGCGCGGTTACCATGCCATCTCGAACCGACGCCATCTTTCTAAGTTGCCGCTTCTTGACAGCCGTGCCAGGGGTTATGGACTCTTGATGATAATATTATTATCATCCGCGTGGAGCGAGACGAATAAAGAATCGCCACTTTGGTCACCATGCTAGAACCATTTATGAAAATTGTCCATGGACCATCACGGCAGAAAGTCCGCCTTGCAGAGGGGGTGGATGTGATGGTTGAGAGCGGGAGACGGTTCATACTCGGTACGCCCCTGAGGTCAATCCCCAGTACGCTAGTTGTACCAGAAATGAAAACAAGATTGCGCCTTTGGCACGAGGGACAAGAATCGACATGCTGGGAATGTCACCAGCCGGGTCACAAATCCCGTAGCTGCCCACGCCGCCAGACATCCCGTGAGACCACTGTGATACAAAAAGAACTGACCAAGACATCAACAGCACCTGTTGAGGATAACAATGCTACGTCAACAGTTGAACCTATTGAGGATAACAACGCTACGGTAGACTTGAACTCCAGTGAGCTCAAGCCCAGGGCAGGTCAGACAACCCCCGCCGTGCGTGGCAAGTCCAGGGCTGAGCACACGCCTACAGATGATACGGCACAAGAAGATGACGACAGTGATGGCTTCACACCAGCCCGTAGGCCGAAAAAGAAGAGTCAACAAACGGCCCACCAGAGACCAGGTAACCAAGCTGCCAATTGTGAGCTCCTGGATGATGCCTTGAGTAGTGTTCTGCACCGGACAGGATCACATTACGAGGTTCTAGCCGACAACATTATTCAGGGAGCCAGGCAGGGAGCCGCTAACGCCCGCAGGCACAGCCAGGCGGCTAACCACACCTGCAGTCGCTAACAAGCCCCAACCTCGGACGTACGTACAGCATTGCTACATAACGTATCCTCATTCAACAAAAATAATAGTCATGTATATTACATTGAAAATGATAGGAAATTTCACACACATTAGTTCTTCCTTTTCTCTACATCACTAAATCCCCTAGCATCGTCTTTCATACCAATGAGCAACCGAAATCTGCGATCATGTACCAACCACGACACATCCCACTTGTCCTTAGGGTTCATGAACGCATGCAGTCTCCGCTTCAAGGTCCATGCTCTAACCGCACTGATCCCCAAGTACGACATCCTGTGTATAGCCGAAACATGGCTAAACAGCTCGATCTCTGACGGAGAAGTACAAATCCCAGGTTATAACCTTGCCAGATGTGACCGCGAAAACAGGACTGGAGGCGGTGTATGTATCTACTACAAATCATCACGTCCCATCACGCCATAGCCAAATCTCCGCCTTTAAACGGCGTGGAAGCCGTCTGGATACTGCTGCGATCGAAGTCCCAGAAGCACCTGTTCGGATGTGTATATCGTCCCCCGCAGGAGCCTGTCGCGTACTGGACTCTCCTGGACTCTGCCTTCCATAGAGCGTCTCTGGTGACAACATCAATGACCGTTGTAGGAGACTTTAATGTGGACATGTTCCGAGGCCAGAGAATGGCGCAACGTCATCACCTTGAAGATGTCGCATCTGCTTACAGCCTCACAAACCACATGCTGTCCCCGACAAGGATTACACCTCTCTGTCCCCGAGGTAGCACCATAGATTTAGTCCTTTCTACAGAGAACTCAGTGTCAACGTGCACGGTTGTTCCGTCCACCATAAGTGACCACTTTACCGTCCGTGCTACTATGACCTTTGCTGTACAGACGAAGAAGTGCGTGCGTGCTCCACCAACACGTAAGCTGCACAAAATCGATATTCCGCTATTTCGCGAGGACCTTAAATATTGCTTTGCACAAGACTTCCCCTCTGATGCCGATGTCGACACTTACTGGGAGCTCTGGCACGATCGATTTATGACTGTGTTGGACACACATGCCCCGCTTGTACAAGGGGCAATGAAATCTGCAGAACCTGTGCCTTGGTCAAACCGCGACATTTATCAGTTGGACAAGAAGAAGAAAAGGTATCATCGCCTTTGGCTGGCCGACAAAGGAAATGTTCCTCCACCATCAGTACCGGAAGGTTCGAACTCAGGCAACGAACATGTATCGCCGTTGTAGGAATGAGTACTTCGCACGTCAATGCCAAGAACATTCCAGAAACCCCGCCAGATTTGGAAAGTCATCAATACCGTCACCGGACGTGGGAAGCAGAAAACCGAACCAACCTGCAACATCGAAGAGGTAGCCAACGTGTTTCATGACATTGTGACGGATCCAAAGCGCCCATCATGCCTAGCCTCTCCCGCCGGCCCACTTCCATCGGATAGCCTGCACACGTTCCAGCCAGCCTCTTGTTCCGTAATCTACCGTCTACTAAGTCAAGTCAACCCTGCGAAAGCAACGGGCAGCGACGGTGTCCCAGGACTCCTCCTGAAGTCCTGTGCTGAGGTCCTCACACCATCTGTCACCACACTCTTCAACCTGTCACTGAAATCTGGTGCAGTGCCTGCCGGTTTCAAGTTGGCGGCTGTAAGCCCGCTGTTTAAGTCTGGGGATCCGTCTCAACCGACAAACTATAGGCCAGTGTCGCTACTTCCGATTTTGTCAAAGTTGCTGGAAAAGCTGGTCCAGCGGCAGCTTGTACGGCACCTCGACCACACCGACGCTATCCCGGAAACTCAGTTTGCATTTCGCCGGCAGCACTCGACGGGTGATGCACTAGCCTTACTGGTTGATCAGCTGCAAATGGCTCGAGACAAGAAGGACTCCTCTGGAGTGTGCTTCCTTGACATGTCGAAGGCCTTCGACAAAGTGCGGCATGCAATTATGATCCAGGACTGCTTTGAAATTGGAGTTGGCGGTACGGTGATGAAATGGCTCGTTAGCTACCTTACAAACCGGACACAACAAGTCCGCATCGGTAGCGAACTGAGCAACATCACAGTATGCACAAGTGGAGTACCCCAGGGATCTGTATTGGGGCCCATCTTGTTCAATATATACACCCGAGCGGTAGCTGCAGTAGCTCACCCGACCCCTAGCATACAATTTGCTGACGATATTGCACTATACCAAAGTGGTTCCAACACGGCAACTATTTCACTGGGACTCTCGTCATCCGTCACTGCGCTGGCCGACTGGCTCGAAAACCGCGGCCTGATATTGAATGAACGCAAAAGTCAAGTTCTGTCCATCTGTAGGAGGGATGCGCAAACCAGTATCGCTGTAAATTGCCATCAGACCCGCTTACCTGCTTGTACTGCGGCCAAGTACTTGGGTTTAACCATCACCGAGCAACTGACCTGGGACCACCATATCCACGATGTTACAGCGAAGGTGAACAGGAAAGTCGGAGCATTGTGGCGAGCCCGGCGATCCCTTTCCCAGAAGGCCAGGGTCCAATACCTAAAATCCGTTGTGATGCCCGACCTATCATATGGAAGTGTGGCCTATAGCACGTCCCTCTCAGTTTTTGCTCTAGGGAAAGTCCAACGTCTTCAGAACCGTGCCATCCGCGCTGTGTTCAGCCTACCACCCACATCTTCGGTAAGCCACCAAAGGGAGAGCATATCCCTCCGCAAAATCGAGGAGACACAACACCACCGACTCCTCGATCTCATCTGGCGCGGCCTGAACGGCCAATGTAGTACAGCGCTTTCAAAGCAGCGGACGCCCGCAACCACGGCCCCAACTCGACATCAAGCCAACGCCGGGCTCATTCTCCCGCTGGCCAGGACGACTACAGGCACTCGCCGACCGTTCTTCCGTGGACCTGCGCTGTGGAACACTCTGCCAGCCAGTGTACGTTCCTGCAAAGCCGTGGCCGATTTCGCAGCAGCCGCGTACCCGTACACTCTCAGGCCATAAACGTTTTTTTAAAGAAGAGAAACAGTGACATGCACCCCCCCCCCCCCCCACACACACACGGACAGTATGTATAGGCATATAACAAACGCGTCAGGCGAAATAGCACGTCATAGTACATTCGAGATCAGCGGGAAGAAGATGACGATGTCCACTAATTTAGTATCTGTGCACACGAATCTGCTGTATGTGTTACTCTGTGTGTCAGCTATGGCATCATCGCCTGTGGTTCCATGCCTAGCATGTACGTCTGAACCATCCTGCAAAGTTTGAATGACGTAGGTTGAGCGATCGCTCCGCGAAACATACTTTTTGAAATTCTCTTCATAGTATATCTTCCACCATTGAAATTTTGAATTTCTTCGAATTTTTTGCTGAGAGGGGTGGCTTGCAACCTCGATATGGCTTGTTCTCGGCATGCTTTGGAGCCATCGCCTGTTGAAACAGTGGCGGGAAGCTGCCCTGCAACTGTTCCAGCAGGAAATTAATCGATCCGAGAAAGCGCGAGTCCGCGAATCTCGGTTGAATATTGAGTATTTCAAGCCTTTTCACGACGAAGATGGAGTTCTTTTTGGAGATGGACGTCGCGGCAAAGGACATGGTGTCCGACTTCTGGCGTCTGGTGAAGCCAGGGATCATTTGTCCAGTCAGGTCGGCAGCCTTACCGTCGGTAAGCTTGTGTTTGGATCCCGTTCTGCTCGATGTGGTAGATCACAAACAGTTTGATATCGCACAAATTGATCTCAGCATCGTGCGTACGGTATTTTATATTCAGAAAATCCCAAAGTGTCTCTGTGTGGCCGTCCTATGCCACGAGAAACTCCAATCAGGCTCCTATGTCCTCTGCCTTCATGATTGAATGTCCACTTCGTTTGAACCACGAACACAACAATCGAGGACGGCTTTGCAATGAAAAACACAGCTATACTGGAGCTGAAAAAAAGAAGAAAAAAACGTGCTCAGGATGAGACTCGAGTACACGCATACTCTCCCAGCAGGTGAATCGCAAATTTTTGTGAAAAATGCGTGTCGCCGACTGACCAGTAATTTCGCCTGACGGGTCTTTTCCTGTTAGCTCTGTTTGTCCAATACATGAGATAAAACGTCTTTCTTGTTGTTTTTCCTTCTCCATGTAGCTGCTTCCAGCATGGTAAACGACAGTACCATGGCCTTTTCAGATTTTCATTGTACCTATTTGTAGTACCTCCCGTGATCAGTATTTTCCACTTGAAATAATATCCACCCGGGCCAATGCCTCATTCTTAGCATTCTTTTATTCGCTTCCATGTAATTGGGCTTATTGCCCGTTTGGTATTGCGAATTCAAATAAAAAACAACGACAACAAATCACTAACCACGCACTATTGCTATACTCAGTGCCATGCACAATATTCGAGTCGTAGTGACTCTTGTCCAGACGTTACTGTCCTTAGGCATAGTGCCTAGGGACTACTACTGTTACTACGAGCCAAACTATGGAGTACTAGTATATGCCAATGGGGGGCTTACCTCCGCTCGACGCAAGTACAGGCTGAGTTAACCTGCCAGTCTCCCCGCAGCGTCTCTCAGACTCACGCAATCAGTGTGTCCTCAAACCGGCGTCAACCTGAGCCGAGCCTTCTTCATCAAAATAAAAACCAACTCATTGAAAGAGCTACCAATCGGCAAATGCACGCGGGGCGCATGCACATACATGTCACATCGCTCACGTACACGTGCACGTACGTACGTTACGATGCCGGATCAAAACTCAATTAATATTTATATTATTTTTTGTATTTACACCAAAAAAGATAGGAGATTTTTTAAGACGGGATCACGGGGTCGATTTCACAGATTTTTCGTGTACGAGTGCTACAGTGCTGGCAACTGAAATCGGACCCCCTTGCCGGCGCGCCGCGCCGGCAAGGGGGTCGGATTTCAGTTGCCAGCACTGTAGTACAGTAGATATTGGTTATAACGTGCCCTTCTGATTTTTCACATTTTATCACACACTCGAAGAGAATTGGTGAGCACACATGCTCATTCCCTGGGCACTGCAAATTCACAACTCATTTCATTTCACATAATCATTTTCAACGTTTCGGCAAATTGCCATCATCAGGATACAATATGAAGTGGAAGTCTGCCAAGGAGCAGTTATATACACTAATTTGTGTTCTTAGGTGTTGATAATATTTTTTTATGACTACATATGTTACCTCAGTGCTAGAAATATGACATGTCTAAAACTAGTGAAAGATCACAAGTTTTCACTGACTCATATGCTGGGTGTTGGTAATAAGTTAGCACAGCGCAGATGTCACCCGGCAGATAACTTGAGAAATGTCTGAACAGGTTTCTCGCAAGCAATTCACGAATGTGACCATGTCAGTGGTTTCCAGTAAATACTGTCACCTAGATAGACAGTGTGGTGTGATTGTTTTAGAGTAATGACCATCCAGTACTGGTGTTGATCTCTGGGCCTTCGTTTCTGATCTCCACTGCCTCTCGCAATTTGCGGCTTGCCCTGTCACTGGCTCTTGCAACCACAGACACTGCCGAGAAGATGCTGTCCCCGACACCTAGGTTGATCCCTGCATGCTTAGCTCGCATGTGGTCACCCCATGGCTTATCCACAGTGCGCCTACGAGCTTCACCGTTGTGTTCCTCCAGTCTTGTCTCCAGTGTGCGACCCGTCTCTCCGATGTATTTTTCCCTGCACAACTTGCATTGCAGCCGGTATATCACATTCTTCTTCAAACATATTTTCACTCCACCCGACTTACAAGTCAGACACGGCCCCAATGGGCGTCCTCTTCTCTTTGTCTTTCTGATGTTGGGCTCCTTAATGCAGCTGGGCGGACTTTGTGCTGAGTGACAGAGCTGACGTTTGAGGCTACCCGCATGCTCGTAAACCACCCGGACTGGTAACTTGTGCTTCCGGATAGCTTTGCTGACGCTGTGATGCACCCTGTCCGACTTATACGGCAGCTTTAGAAACGCACAACACGGATTACCTCGGCGGCGACGCTTGGGTTTCCTTGCTGCTTCTCGGGCATTGATGATGAGGCTCTCTGGATAGTGGTTGAGTTGAAGTTGGTCTTGAATTTTCTGTTCACTTTCTTTACACATGGTGTCATTGGAAGACAGACGTTGTGCTCTTAAGAATTGAGACTTGGCAACGGCAAGTTTGATGTGATGAGGTACAGCAGATGCGTAGTCTATCAGCAATCCACTATTGCATGGCTTTTGGAAGAGCTTGTACGTCATCTGGCCCGACTGTTGTATGGCAATCGTCACGTCCATGTAATCAATCCAGCCTTTGCTACTGCTGAGCTCGTAGGTGAACTTGAGTCGGTCGTGTCCTGCATTGAAGTGCTGTATTAGCTCCAAGAGGCGTTCCTCACCGTGGGTCCAGAGAATGATCACATCATCAATGTACCGTTTGTACAGCACAGGCAGAACCGGTGAATCGGCAAGAAGGCGCGTTTCCAGAGAGTGCATGAACAATATTGCGAATGGTGGTGCTAGATTATTGCCCATTGCAACTCCCTCTAGCTGGTGGTAAATTTTCAGAGAAGGACTTTCGCTTGAGACAGAGCACGCACTTTCGGGACAAGCTCTGGTCATTCTCTCGGGAGGACTACATAAGGATCCGTACCGTGAAGCGTTGCGTAGCCACAGAGGAGCGCATCGATACGAATGCAAGGCTAGCCCGGAAGCTTGGCAAGCTTCGTGCAGAAGCTGGCCAGCAAGAGTATGAAATTACGCAAGCCGCATCACAAGCCCAGCTTGGAGCTCGGACCAGTAGTGCGGCGACATGTGATGGATCCAGTGTCCAGCGGGCATTGGTTGTGGATGATTGTGTGCCGGACAGCACCAGGCGGATTCTGGAGCTTGGGCCGAGCTTTGTTCCTTCGACAGGCAAGTTTTCGGATCGCGAGCGTTCGGAGGTGATTACGTCTGTCGAGCGGATGGCCTACACGTTGCGCTGGCAGCAAGCCCAGCCTCAAGAGGTGGAGGTTCCAGACAACGAGACTGTTTCTGACACGGTGGGCGACAGAAAACTCTGGAAGCTCAAGCAGCGTGGGTTTAAACAACCGCCGAAAATGTGTGACGATGAAGAAAGGAAGCTTGCGAATTTCAAGGACGATGTTCTCGCTGCTTACACCAAATACAGGCCATCGACGTCGAATATGACCAAGGAGGAACGAGAGGAGCTGGCCAGACTCCGCAAGGACACAAGTACAGTCATCAAACCGTCAGACAAAAGTAAAAAGTTAGTCGCAATGAAACAAACGCTCTACCTGGAGAAGGCAGACACATTGCTATCAGATAGCGCTATGTACGAAAAGGTTGACCTAACAATAACTGAGTTCGAGACACGGGTGAAAGCTGTCCTTGGGGACAAATGCAAGAACATGGATTCAAAGCTGCTGAAGTCGATTCTCCCCAATGATACAAGATTCCCCGAGTTCTATGGTCTCCCAAAGGATCATAAACAGAACCTACCCCTACGACCCGTCGTGTCAGCATGTGATAGTCCTGTCACGGGCATATCAATCGTACTAGAACGCATTCTACACCAGTTGCTAGACTTCGTCCCAGCACACCTCACTAATACGAATGAAGCCCTTGATGACATCTGCGCTTTATACCCAGATCTCAAAGCTCCAGAGGGGACTATTCTTGCCACTTTGGATGTCGTGGGCCTGTACCCGAGCATCCCAATTGAAGAGGGAGTCAACGCAGTGGGAGAAATATTGGAACAGAATTTCAAAAGAATCAACATGTTCGGCCTTGACGTGTGCGAAGTCAAGGACTTGCTTCAATTTGTTCTCAGTAACAATTTCTTCAGATTCGGGCGACAAATTTACCACCAGCTAGAGGGAGTTGCAATGGGCAATAATCTAGCACCACCATTCGCAATATTGTTCATGCACTCTCTGGAAACGCGCCTTCTTGCCGATTCACCGGTTCTGCCTGTGCTGTACAAACGGTACATTGATGATGTGATCATTCTCTGGACCCACGGTGAGGAACGCCTCTTGGAGCTAATACAGCACTTCAATGCAGGACACGACCGACTCAAGTTCACCTACGAGCTCAGCAGTAGCAAAGGCTGGATTGATTACATGGACGTGACGATTGCCATACAACAGTCGGGCCAGATGACGTACAAGCTCTTCCAAAAGCCATGCAATAGTGGATTGCTGATAGACTACGCATCTGCTGTACCTCATCACATCAAACTTGCCGTTGCCAAGTCTCAATTCTTAAGAGCACAACGTCTGTCTTCCAATGACACCATGTGTAAAGAAAGTGAACAGAAAATTCAAGACCAACTTCAACTCAACCACTATCCAGAGAGCCTCATCATCAATGCCCGAGAAGCAGCAAGGAAACCCAAGCGTCGCCGCCGAGGTAATCCGTGTTGTGCGTTTCTAAAGCTGCCGTATAAGTCGGACAGGGTGCATCACAGCGTCAGCAAAGCTATCCGGAAGCACAAGTTACCAGTCCGGGTGGTTTACGAGCATGCGGGTAGCCTCAAACGTCAGCTCTGTCACTCAGCACAAAGTCCGCCCAGCTGCATTAAGGAGCCCAACATCAGAAAGACAAAGAGAAGAGGACGCCCATTGGGGCCGTGTCTGACTTGTAAGTCGGGTGGAGTGAAAATATGTTTGAAGAAGAATGTGATATACCGGCTGCAATGCAAGTTGTGCAGGGAAAAATACATCGGAGAGACGGGTCGCACACTGGAGACAAGACTGGAGGAACACAACGGTGAAGCTCGTAGGCGCACTGTGGATAAGCCATGGGGTGACCACATGCGAGCTAAGCATGCAGGGATCAACCTAGGTGTCGGGGACAGCATCTTCTCGGCAGTGTCTGTGGTTGCAAGAGCCAGTGACAGGGCAAGCCGCAAATTGCGAGAGGCAGTGGAGATCAGAAACGAAGGCCCAGAGATCAACACCAGTACTGGATGGTCATTACTCTAAAACAATCACACCACACTGTCTATCTAGGTGACAGTATTTACTGGAAACCACTGACATGGTCACATTCGTGAATTGCTTGCGAGAAACCTGTTCAGACATTTCTCAAGTTATCTGCCGGGTGACATCTGCGCTGTGCTAACTTATTACCAACACCCAGCATATGAGTCAGTGAAAACTTGTGATCTTTCACTAGTTTTATTATTATTATTATTATTATTATCAAATTTTTGATAGGGCAATCCCCACAGGCCTAAGGCCTTCTTACAGGGTACCCTAGAAATGAAAGTACTGAATGACGGAATAGGTGCAGTGAAGAGCATAAGCGGACTGCAGCGGGGAGTGCATTCCAACGGTCGGAACCGATGAAAGAAACTGAAAAGAGACCGAAACGAGTTTTAGCTTTTGGTAGAGTGACAGACGAAGATACCTGAGAGCGAGTGCAGGAATTGGTACGAGTAGAAGTAGAACGAAGGCAAAAGCAATCAGTAAGGAGAGTAGTAGTTAACTGATTCAGGACACGAAACACTAAGATATAGAGTTTGAACTGATAGCGCACAGACAAAGGGAGAATGTGATGGCGTGCATTAACAAGGGATACGTCAGAAAAGCGAGGCATACTGAACACAATGCGTAGAGCTCTATTACTAAGACGGACTAGACGGTCATGAA